TTGCTGCTGCTGCTGCTGCTGCTGGATCGCCTATAGCACCTGTTTGTGCGGCGCCATTCATGATTCGCTGCTGCTGCTGCTGCTGCTGCTGCTCTAGTTGCTGTTGCTGTTGCTGGCGCTGTGGGTGTTGCTGCTGCTGCTGCTGCTGCTGCTGCTGCTGCTGCTGCTGGCAGCAGAAGGTCTCCCATGGTGACGGCGGGAGCGCAGCATAGCAGCAAGGGCACTTCCGCTGCTGCGCTGCATCTGCTGTTGCTGCTGCTGCAATTGCTGCTGCTGCTGCTGCTGCTTCTGCTGCTGATGGTGCTGCTGCTGCTGCTGCTGCTGCTGGTTTGGCTGCTTCCGCCGCCGCAGCTGTTCTCGCGTTCTGCCTCAGCGTTTCTCCTTGCTGCTGCTGCTGCTGCTGTTGCTGCTGCTGCTGCTGCTGTTGCTGCTGCTGCTGCTGTTTCTGCTGCTGCTGCTGCTGTTGCTGCTGCTTCTGTTGGTGGCGGTGTGTGTTGTTGTGTGTGTTGTGTATTTGCTGGAGTGTCGATATTTGTTGCTGCTGCTGCTGCTGCTGCTGCTCGTGCTGCAGCAGCAACTGGCATGCAGGTATATTAAGGGGAAAGACAATCTGCTGCTGAAACGCAGCAGCAACAAACGGGAACTGCAGCGGCGTTTTGGGGCTGCATGCGCCCCAGAAGGAGTGGAAAGCAGCAGCAACAAAAACAAATAAATAATAAAATGTTTTTTCTGCTGCTGCAGCAGACAAGCAGCAGCAAAAGAACGAAGACACATCGTGACGCAGCAGCAACCACTGATACAGCCACGCAGATATATTTATTAATGTTATTCCGAATGAATAGCTGCAGCAACCGCTGCTGCTGCTGCTGCTGTTGCTGCTGCTGCTGTTGCTGTTGCTGCTGCTGTCAATCCCACTGCTACTATCCACGTTGCTGCCGCCTTCTCCACCGCCACCACCACCACTGCCCCTGCTGCTGCTGCTGCTGCTGCTGCTGCTGCTGCTGCTGCTGCTGCTGCTGCTGCTGCATTGCTGCACCATCTGCTGCGCGAGAAGAGGAAAGTTGCAGCAGAGAAAAAGCAGACAGCGCAGCCCCAGCAGCCCGCAGCCCCGAAAGTCAGTAGACGGGTCCTCCCCCTATACACACACAAACACCAGCAGCAGCAGCAGCAGCAGCAGCAGCAGCAGCAGCAGCAGCAGCAGCAGCAGCAGCAGGAGCAGCAGCAGGAACAGCAGGGATGAGAGCAGCAAGTGTAGGAGCAGAAGCAGCAGCAGCAGAAACAGCAGCAGCAGCAGCAACAGCAAAATCTGCAGCAACTGCAGCAGCAGCAACCAAACCAGCAGCAGCAGCAGCAGCAACAAAACAACAACAACCACCACCACCACCACCAACAGCAGCAGCAGCAGCAGCAGCAGCAGCAGCAGACCTGAAACCCCAGCAGCTTCCAGTCTTTAGATACGGGGCGGGTGAGGGGCCTCGTCGGCATAGCAAGGGCCCAAAGAGCAGCAAACAGCTGCTCGTGCTGCTGCTGCTGCACCTCCTGCTGCTGCAGCAGCTGCAGCAGCTGACGGCTAAATATTAAACCCCGCATTGCACTCACAGGACGCGACAGACCTGCACATACACCAGAAACACCAGCAGCAGCAGCAGCAGCAGCAGCAGCAGCAGCAGCATCAATTACACTGTCAGATGCAGCAGCAAAAACCAGCAGCAGCAGCAGCAGCAGCAGCAGCAAATGATGCAGCAGCAGCAGCCTTCTGCTGACGCTGTTGCTGTGCTTCGTTTCTACCACCACCAGCAACAAAAGCAGCAGCAGCATCAGCACAGCAGCAACAGCAGCAGCAGCAGCAGCACAGCATCAGCACAGCAGCAGCAGCAGCAGCAGCAGCAGCAGCAGCAGGAGAGTGAGTTACTGTAAGCGAGTTGCTGTTTGCCTGTGATTCGTTTGCTGCTGCAGATACAGCCCACGGCCTGCTGGAAGGAGCAGCAGCAGCGCAGCCGTGCTGCATCTGCTTCGTCCAGCTGCTCTCTCCCTGCTGCTGCTGCTGCTGCTGCTGCTGTTGCTGTTGCTGCTGCTGTTGGTTGCTGCTGCTGGTTGCTGCTGCTGCTGCACTTGAGGCTGCAGCAGCACACCTCTAATTCTGCTTCCCACGGCATTCTATATGCATTCTTGCTGCTGCTGCTGCTGCTGCTGCTGCTGCTGCTGT